AGTGTTGTTTGTCAGTTCTGCTTTACGTGTCAATGCTTGGACCACCGAGTCCTGGGCTGCCAGCTTGTCGATATCCACCGAGAGCGCCTCGATCGCTTCTGTTAGACCCAAATCACCCGGTGCAGCTTCGTGCACTTCATCTGCTGAGTCTTTTTCATCCACGCCGTCTGGTTCTTCGTACTCATCTTCGATGAATTTCTGTTGGTCCGGAAATAAGTCGTCATCAAATACACCAAGTCGCGATGCATGATCCACCAGACCAAGCGATGCAATGCTTTTCTTGGTTCTCTCATTCCGGTTGTCAACCTGGGGGATTTCGGACGAGCTGCGCGATGAAAGAACAGGACGCTCCGGCCCAAACAGACCGGCAGCATCTCCTTTGAGGTCTTCGATTCTTCCATTTTTCGGCTCATTGGTAATGATATCATTAAGCGCTGCCTCCATCGTCTCTAGGACTTGGCTTTGGCTCTGGCTAGCATCATTCTCGCCATTCTGGGAATCCTTGCCCAAACTATGGGTGGACGTGGCGAGATTGTCGGTGTCATAGTCATCATCAAATAGATGAGCAGATCGTTCTGAATCTATTGATCGTCGTGGTGAATCGTCATCATCAAACAATTTCCCCATGCCGCGCACATCACTAGACGAGACGGCGGCTCGTCGCAAATCTCTAGATGATCTCAATCCCGGTTGGGAGGTGGTTCGTGACAATAGAGGGGGAAGAGGTCGCCTCTCGGGAGTTTCAAAGGTGACTGCTATGGGCGAGGATTGACGAACTGGGGCCTGGGCAGCGGATGCTTCATCGGATGCAAGATACTTCCAGTATAGATCAGACTCCTTGAACTTTGGATAATAAGTATCTTGGAGAAGCTCTAGAATGGCAGACTGAGTTGTCAGAACCACCATTCGCGCTTTTCGATATTGTTCCGGGGTGGCACGCTTTCCTGCACTCAGGAATGTCTTGACTGCTCGGCGAGACTCCTCAGAGACCTTTAGTTCGGGCTTTGATAGGTATGTTTCACTGATGAGGGCTAGGTCGTTTCTGTCTGCTGGCTTCCATGCTAGTGAAGTTGGCACTGCCTCATCTCCAAAATCATCTTCAAGTGGGTTGCGGAATCCATCTACAACAACCCAAAATTGAACAAGCGACATCAGTTTTTGGCGGTCCATAAACTCCATAAAATAAGAAAGGCCAGATGCGCTGTGCATCACGTCAACCAGTGACGATTCATGCGTTCTAGGTGGGATCTCAGGTCGAAGGTCTAGTGCTGCAGGTACACGGGAGTCCTCGCCAGGTCTCGCAAGTTTCGCCACTTTCTGATCAAGAACACGTTTACCTGTTTCGAGGCGCTTCAAATAGACCTGATCCTGGCCCTCGACCACACTCTCTTGCTTCAATTGACTAGAAACGAGGGCACGGAACCGACGGGCATCGGAAAGGTTATTACATTTCCTGATTGCCCTCACAAAACGCTCAAAGGCTCGCTCTGAATCGTTTGCGGATAGTCGTGGGAATGGTTGCCCACGCTTGGACTTAGGTGTGGGTGACGCATGCTGGTCCAAAGCAGCGCGCAGTTTGCGTACAGTCTTCCGATCCTGCAAAGCTGTACGGCCATATGCTTCCATTAGTTGGTTCCATGTGTCTGGATCTGATAATGAAGTAACTATCGGAATAAGTACAGCGCATGAGATGATTTCGCGAATCAGAACCGACACGATTCGACTATTCAGAACGTTTTCCGGGAATAGCTGGGGCAAAAGGCCGACCGCTAGCTTGCGCAGGTACTCCTGTTGAACGGACTTTTGATCGGACGCAGATGTTGCAACAGCGGGATGTAAGCGACCTTCGCGGTATTTGTTTGCAATGGCCAGGTCAAGCTCTCCAGACTCGGTCACATTTCGATTAAGATTGCGTCCCCGAATTGAACGTTCGGCAATGTCAAATTCTTTGAGATGCGATGTCACGATAGGAAAGATGCGCGATACGATCAGCGAGACCATGTCCTCCGCAACCAGCCTATCCCGGAGGTTTTCAAGGGCGACACGGATCGTTCGATCAACTTCATTGACAAATATAGGGTTCGGGCTGATACTGTGATACCATGAGGAAACAAAGTCTCGGGTTATGAAAGATAAAAGTTCGTCGATCCCTTCCGATACGACAAAGGACTGAGGATAGAGTGGCCGGGGCCGGTATCGCGTGCTCCGGCGGACATTCAGCACTTCTTTTCGCCATTGGTTGGGTTTTATGAAAGCGACTGAGACTTTCTTGGTGTGGATCTTGTCATTCTGGTGCCGGATTGTCAATGCGACAAGTCCAAAAAGTCCCACGGAAGATAGGATGGCACCCAATGTCACGGCATATCCTAGATAGCGGAGGATCGGCAGCCAGCGAACCACAAGACCCCAAGCGATGAATACACCAACGCCCGCCAGAACGAGGTCGCGGCGACTAAGGGCCATTCTCCCCACTCTCTTGTCAGAGCTCCACGGCTCATAACGATCACTCCCGGGAACTTGGGAGCGAACGGCTCGGCATAGTATTATGGTCACGGTCAACTGGGCCTGATTGGCGATGAAGCTCTCGTTCGTATCGAGCGTCCTGGAATGAGGTCGGTAGTCAGAAGAGAAGAGATAAAGTCGTGGATCTCAGCTATACTGGTATCAAAAAGAAGAGCCAAGCAAAGAGTCGAGAAAGACGCAATCCCGTGACCGTGCGGGAGGAACCCACGGGTCCACTGGACGTCATTTTTTGTTTACTTAAGCTGTTAATCCGGGGCCCAACATCCAACTTCGTCTTTCCCCTCTTCTTCTTCTTCTTCCTTCTTCCTATTCTCTTCTCTTCACTCTTCCTGGTTTAACTATTTTTGCGCCATGGCCTCTCTTACGGATTTTGTTGATTTTTCCTCCAAGCCTTTACTATGTGAGTTGGTCTTTACAGGTTCTCAACAATTTGCATGTGATTGACCCCAACAGGGTCCGCCGCGACTATTGCTTTTAACCCAATTTTCTGGAAGTGAGTGACAACCTTGGTCGAGAAAACCGCAATAGCTAACCCGAAATTTCTAGCATTGTTGCCCGCGCAGGTTAGCCGACTTCACCCCAGGACTATTGCGTTCGACCTTGGCTAACCGTTGAACAGAGTACCGCAACCATTTCTTGACCCGTCTCTTCGGAGGCGCGTACAATGGCTGCTACGTCCTTGCAGTCACCATATTTTCCCTCGGGATTCTCCGTGACCATGTCTACCAACTCGCTCTAGCTGACCAGCCCTTCTACGCTCCTGTCCACCAACCCATCGTTGGAGGTGTCTTGTTTACTATCGGTTCCGTCCTGGTTCTCTCCAGCATGTGGGCTCTTGGTGTGACGGGTACCTACCTTGGCGACTACTTCGGCATTCTCATGGATGCTCCCGTCACCGGGTTCCCTTTCAACGTAACCGGCTCGCCGATGTACTGGGGTAGCACCTTGAACTTCCTTGGTGTTGCACTGTACCACGGCAAGGTTGCTGGTATTCTTTTGACTGCCCAGGTCTTTGTCCTGTACTGGTTCGCTCTTGGCTGGGAAGAGTAAGTAGTCAATATTTGAAGCATTCCTAGAACTAAACTGACTGTCTATAGCCCCTTCACTGCTGAGATCTACGCCAAGCGTGAGCGCGAGCGTGCCAAGAAGCAGGGCGGCAAGAAGCAGTAAACGCCATGAATATATACCAGGATTGGCCAGGACATTCAACATCCACAATCCGCACACCAAAAGAGAGGCCAGGTTGCTTCAGACAACTTGACACCCAAAAAGTCTATGGTTGCCCACGACAAGTTTCCAGCACATGGATGCATCCGAATCTTCAACGATGCTGGACCTGTAGACGATAGATCTTTGCCTTGTCCTTGATACTGGGGATGAGTATAACAGGACAAGGCCCCACTGTGATTTCCCTTACGCGACTACCAAAGATATAATTCAATCAACCCATCGCGCCAAACCTGCAGTACAACTGTGAATCAGTAGACCTTTGTTGCTCACTTGTGATTGCTGAGGATGTACAACGGACTCTAGAAGTCTTTGTCTGTTTTAGGGCAAAGGGAGAGAGATATCTACAGCAGAGAAAAGATGCTCCAGACCAAAAAAACACATTTGAATCTAACATATCTAATATTGTACGATTATGTTCTTTCCACCACTTCCTATGCACTATACTTCTATCATGAAGAACAGAGCGGCAAAGCGATGACGACTGAAAAAAAATCTAAGCAATTAAGAAAGATACAGTATGTATATGAAGGCCCAGGTAGATCATTTCACTTCAATACCTGGTTTGTTTGGCTCTCATCTAGCATTCAGATAGGTTCGGTTTGTTCGTAGAGAATCAATCCTTCTCCTATCTCTTCTTTGCTCTCTTGTCAAGTCCATATATTAGACCGACCAAAACACTTTACACGCATTCACGCAAGCATCCACTAGGGTATTTGCCCTTGTTAAAGGGACATGGTCATCAGCTCAATTGTGAGAGTGTTATACTAAACTCTAATTCCCCACCTGATCCCGGTCTATACACAATCCCTCCACTTGACTACACAACTCCCTGGCTAATATAAGGCCGTTTGCCTTATAACGCGCGTTCTTAGTCTTTCGGGACATATAAGAGTACGCTCTACTTCCCTCTTCCTCTTCCTCCTCGGGGCCTCAACCTCAGTCAATACCTTGAGGCCCAAAAGCAGCAAGCTGCAGCAAACCCTAAGCAAAGAGCCAGCCCTACCGCCAGTTTTCCGCCAACACCAGCCCCCTGGGACTCATACCATTGCATATTTACCATCCGATGCATGGCCTGCTTGCCATTCTACTTGTACCTGCTCTCGGGTGAACGGCAAGTGAAGACCGAATGAGACACAGCCCATGGCTACAGTCATCGGATGTATTTGCACAAGCCACCTAATAGCCCGCAGTTTGGCAAGCGAAAAGACAGGGTGAATTCAAAAAAGAAAAAACCATTCGCCAGGTCCATGGTGTCACCGCATACCTCGGTATGCTGAGATAACTCGACCTGGACAAAGACTGTGTCGACATTCCCGGGATTCATTGAACTACTGAAACCCCTGTGGAAGTCGCAAATCAAAGCTGAAGACATAAAAGACATGTTGCACTCCCTGATATGAGGGTGTGATAACCACGACTTACCATACTCAGACATGACATTGACAACCCTGCGCGCGGGATCTTGGGATGGAAGTTCTAGAAGACGAGAAGCAGAGTCGCCGAAAGACAGAGAGTCAGAATTCGACCGTCAAGTTGACGATCAATCTGACAGCTTGAACCCAAACCTTTTCCCCAATAGAGGACATTGTTCGACTATGCCAGGGGAAGAAGTTCAAATACCAAATTGTGGCAGTGATCATCAATGCCGCATCATTTCTCAAATACCAAAACGTCTGCGGCTGTAGAGGCGTGGCGGCTATGATCTCAAGATTGTGATGAGTGGGCAGGACGAGGCCCAGAAAGACGAGGATCAGACCAAGGAGCAAACCTACCATGATGATGCCAATGATGATGCCAAGAGTGTGGGCCAAGACAACAACAACAACGATGATGATGATGAGGGCGAAGAAGGGCGAAAGCAAGATAGTATCTCCTCCACAGTCTCACCATGCACGCATCGTCCCCTCTCCAAGTGGACGTGCGTGCCCTACTGGAATGGCTCATGACCATTCCAGGTGTTATTTTATTATGTAGATTAATGAAAGATGTCATTATTGGACCCAGAAACAGTAACCAAAACCATGATTATTATAGAAATGAGGGTATATACCGACGCCACATGAATCAAAGAACCCAGAGAAACAGAGGCAAGAGACAGGGTAGTATGTAGAGTTCATATCGCCAGGAAGAGAAAAGACAAAGACATGAGAATGACAGAAGTCCCAAGATCAAAAGAGAAGAAGCAAAGTAGAATAGCACTGCCAACAGCCCATCTCTCACTGACGCCTTCCTCTCCCCCTCTTCCCCTGTGTCCGACTCTCATCAACAGTCTCAACCTCATCCTCATCTGTCCCCTTCTTCAAGTCCTCCCCCTCAGCAAGTCCCCATTGCTCACGGTCATACCAGTCCTCGCCATCACTCATCTCGCCGACATGTCCCTCAGCCTTACACCACTCTAGAACATCAGCTTTCATGCGGCAGGATCTATTCAGAGAATCTAGCATGTGCTCAACCCCACGCACCGTCTCTTCCTGCTTCTGAATATATGACCAGAGCAGGCGGCGGGTTTCCTCGGCTTCAGCGGCGGGGAGGCCGAAGTTGGGATCGGGGCGGATGTTGTCCGGGACGAGGAAGAGGGGATGCGGAGTTGGGAGTGGGAAGGCTGTGTCAGAGAGTGGGGAGCCGTTTTCAGTTTCACTTGGGTTGACTGCGTTGGCTTGCGCGCGCGTTGTCATTCGCCGTGGCGGTTCTGGCGAGTCGCCGTCGTGCATTTCGAGATCTTGTTCTGTGTCGTCGTTGAGTTCGGTTGTATCGACGGGATCGGCGTCTTTCGTTGTGTCCACGTCTTGTTTCCCGTTGGAGGGTTGGTTCGTGCTTGCCCCGGCTGCATTGCTGTTGTTGCTTTCTTGGGCGGGAGTCGAGGTGTTAGGGTGAGGTGGGAGGTCTTTGACGGTGGCATCGGTCTCTTCTGATTTAAGATGCAGGCCGTTCTTGGTGAGTTCACCCTGTGCTGGGACGTCGGCCATTTCCACGTCATTCTGGGCTGAACTATGCTGGGCTTTTGTTCCGTTTTGTGCCGGCTGGAGATCCTGTGTGGCTATTGATGCAGATACCTTTTGTGCTACATCCTCTGAGCCATTGAGATCCCTAGCGGTGGACGGGGTACCAGCCCCACTTGCACCTTGACCAGCATACATGCTCGGGTCATTACTAGCAAGCCTAGGGTCAAAGATCAAGTGATCATTAGGCGTCTCGAGCGCACCGCACGGCATCCAACCGCTATCGCCGAGGAATTGCCTGTGCAAGTTCCTGGCACGCCAGAGCAAAGCCCGTTCCTGGCGGAGCTTGTGTTCAACCGCCGCTGTCATCTTCTCTAGGGCTTCCGACGTGTATGCTTGGGACATTGAAGGATGGGTGGGGAGTTCGGAAGGATGCTTCAATGGACATAGAAGGTCTAGAAAGAAAAAAGAAAAAGGTCAGTTATGAAGCCACAGACATTACTCAAAAAAGGAGAGAAAGAACTTACTCTCAAGCGCAATCCCAGAGAACGGGTTCTCTTCAGCGGCAACAGCATCAGCCTCGGAATCTTCATCATCCTCATCAAGCTCGTCTCCCTCTGAATCATAGCGAACCGGGTTTGGCTGAAGAATGTAGCGCGTATAACCAGCATGATCGACCCTCTAATTACCGGTCAAAAGTCAGTTTCCATAAAATCTTGGTCCCATCTCATTGCCACAGCATCCAAGTCCCGAGATCGGCAAACTACGCACCTGCTTGTAGTAATCCTCGGCGTTAATGTAACCCAATGCACCCTCGCTCACGTACTTAGCATTCGCATGCATTTTGTTCCCTCGGTTCGTCGGCGCCATGATCGGGTCGTCCGGGCCATTATCTAGTGAAGAAAGATGTCAGAGAACAATTCTGCTTGAAAAGACAGACTGCTTGGCCCATAACTTACCATCACGCTCTCTACGCAAGGCCCGCTTCATGCCGATGATCGTATCGGCGATCAACGCCGCTTGCGCCGCCATAGTTACGGTGTCAGCGACGAGGCTGTCGGGTTAGACAAGTTTGGTTGCGCGTTGGAGGGGGTTTCTCGGGCAAATGAGGCGTGGGAACGGATTCCCAAGGAGGGGGAAAGTAGGAGGCTGGTTATTTCGATGTCGGGATCTCAATTATAGATGTAGATACTGCAAAGATCAAGGGAAGTGAGCTGTAATGTCTTTGAGTGACTGTGGTGAAGCTCTCTGACGGCAAGACATGCGGAAGACCGATCGCCGCTAGCCTCATTAGGATATCCGGGTTATGTGATAAGGGTTGAACACGTGACATACCCCCTGTACATAGTATAAAGTTGGGATGTTTATTCTATATACAATATCTGCTTATTATGAGACAGTCCAATTCATCTACGGCATGTATTCCAGATCCTAGTCATATTATTCAATCGTCGGCATCAACCCATACCAGAACCCCCTTCTTGTCCGATTTCATATCTCCCGTTGGAAGGACGCGAAGCGTTTTGTTGAAGTAGGTATCAATAACCACCAGCTGTGGCTGAATCCATAAGCCGCGCTTCGCCGCAAACAAATTAAAGTTCACTGTATGACGACTCAGCGGCACAAGCTGCACAACGGTAGTCTTCGGCCCGCTAAAGGCAAAGTGCTCGCTGGCTTCCATGACCAGATTGAAGGTGAGGAAGTGGGTGGAGGAGTTCTCCAGTACGTAATCCATATGGATCAACCCTGGCATATTGTTGGATGGGGTAGCCGATGCAAGGACTCGAGGCTCGCCCATGGGGACGACGAATCGGGGAATATCGAGGACGGTGGTTGTAGCCGAGTTCTCTGCGTCAGAAGCTGCAGATTCAGATGACTGCCGACGCCAATTGACCTCCAATGCGCAAGTGAGTGCAGTTGGTCGACGGTCTCCTAGAATGAGCTTCTGGATATCGAGGCAGAAGTTGGATTCGCGCAGTTCTTCTGGTGCGAGATGGGCCGTTTCTGGACTGGCAAGCTCTTCCGGGTGAACCTCGCAAATGGCTCCCCCGTTGGCCTCGAGAAGAACCAGGGAGATCTTATCGATTACCAGCGGCTCCAGTGCAAAGGAGACTACCTTGGAATTGAGGCACCACTTCTGGAACAGGCCTGCAGGACTTGGTGCAGATCCATTCTCGAGTAGGTTATCGCTAACTGCGAAGAAATTCGGCCATGGCTGAGGGTGAACTGCAGGCAAAAATTCATAGTTGGCTTCAAACGGCCGAATAAACGATAAGTCCACAGTGATGTTCTTCATAATCGGGGTCTGTATATCAGACACCAAATGGTACACAGCCGAAACTTCCAAAGTGAAATCCGTAGCCTCCTGTGTATCGGCTAGCACGATTGTAAGTGTTTTGTTGGAAGAGCGCCCCAGAACACCCACAGCTCGTTTTAAGTAATGAGATGGCCCCTCAATCGGGGTGCTGGCGCCTGATTCGAGGGGTTCGGAGTTGCCATCGCCATCGAGCCAGTGTATTTGAGCTGTGGACTCGGTGCCGAAGAGTCTGATTTCAGCAGATACATCGGCAGCTTCGTCTTCCTCATTGTGTATACCAATATGAAGCGTTACCAGTTCATTGGTATAGTAGGTCTCCTTCAGGTTGGGAGTTGTGAGGCGAATCTTGGGGGGCTTAGGCATGACCTTGCATCTGCCAGTATCCCGATCCTTGCCCACTCTTCTGCGGGTCACCCCCTTTTGCGTCTGCTGCCACCAGAACGATTCACGCTGGTCTGGCTCGGTGATCGCATAACCCAAATCAAATTTATCTTCTTCAATCAGCATGGTGACTGAAGCAACCTTGGCTTCACCAGCTTCGCGAGGTATACAGGTGAGGTTGAAGACTTTGGTCTGGGAGGGCCCCAGGGTCAGATCTGCTATACCCACCAATGCGGTCAGTCCACCAGCTGGGGATTGGACAACGGTATCAGGGTTGCTCGGCTCGCGAAGTGGAAGAGTTGCGAGGCAACACGGCGTTGTGGTGTCGGCATCCTGATTCTGGTCAGATTGAACCTTTACTGGGCGAAGACAGCCTTCGAAGACCAGTTTGACCTCTGAAAGCCGGATAGGGGCCGAGGATTTATGAGCACAGGATGTAATGGAAAGTTGAGCCTGTAGAGGTTCCCCAACGTTGCCATCAGATTTCTCAAACACCAATGATGCGGTCACTTTTAAGACAGGGGTCAGTGCAATCTTTGCATTTCGGGCTTGCCAACTTACGACATGTTAATACATCCTCTGCGCGAAGGATAAGAGAAGGTTTGGGTTTTTCTGAAGGCAAACTTTCAAGACTCCGGTGGATGTCATAATGCCACGCAGGTCTTGGTTTGAAAGCTATCGGAATGAATATTAACATTGAAGACAATACGCACGGGATAAATTGAATTAACTCACTCTTATTCAGAAGCTCCCAGTCCACTCGCAAGACCGTCTCACTGTCCTGCACCCTAAGAGCACATTCTCTAAGTGCCCATCCGAAATTGACCATTAGATGCCACCACCCTGAGCGGCGCCAGCTAAGGGTGGACCACAGCGGCTGGAGAAGGCTATACGCTTCGGACCACGAACCAATGCGCATATACTCCTCGGCCGCCTCAAGGCTCAAGCTCTCAACTTTTCTTGTTTGGTGGCGTTTTGCAAATTCCTCGATAGCAGCCTTTAGAGTGGTCAATATTAGACCAGAGTGGTCGAAGCCAGTTCGTCCTTCTTGGGGTGCTTCCACATGAGTATCTGGAACAAGATATGTGTCGTACAAGTATGATTTGTTTGCAAGTTGTGAGGCGGGTGATTGACCGGGGGGCTTGCGATCTTCCGTGGGAATTTCATGAGCAAGCGCACGTCGGATAATTGTATGTTTTGCTGAACGGTGCAGCCAGTAGCCCTCGTGATGGAGATGTTCCCAGGGTCTGACTCTTTCCCCGGTTGGAATCGATTTCTCGGGTAAAGCAAAGAGATCGCCAGGCTGTTC